GGACACTTTGGGCAGAGGGCCCCTCACTGAAGCTGAACAGACTGTTCCTTTAAGGAAAACCACTCTTCCCCTCTTGATTAAATGAGTAAATTAGTTCCAGATCTTCTGTCAAAGAGTCAAGCTATTTAAAAGGGTGAGGGTGAAAGAGAAAATGTCTTAAGAAGGATACCGCTATTCTTTACTTACTATAATAGGAAAAAAAGCTAACATGCCATAGAGAATGAAGAGCCAAATGGTTTTAGAAATGTACTTCTAAAATAATGTTTTTGGAAACTGAATTCAGTGAATAGAGCCCCATGCTCAGAAGGGCTCTAATGCTTGCTTGGTTTAATGCTCTGCTGTTGTCTTGAAACTCTTAATGATTTTTGAACCATGAGGCTTTACATTTTCATTTTGCACTGGGCTCTGCAAATTGTGACTGGTCCTGTCAGTGAAGTATATTTTAAATCGGTGTCATGTAATTATAGACATTTTCCCCTCAATTTCAGATGGGCCAATATCTCCTGTCCAAGTTTGCAAGTCAATTTTTGTACTGCCTTTTTTTTTTTTTTTTCCAGTTTTATGCCTAGAAGGGTGGTAAGCTTTTGTATCCATATATACTCACTAATCTTTGCTGGAATGTGCCACAGTGAAAATTCAGTGCTGGAAAGTACTGAACAAGAAGGCTAAGCATTAGTATTTACAAATTAAAACATTTCGAAGCTCACTTCCCCCTTTGTCCGGGTAGGCCAGGCATTTTGTACAGAATCTTCTCCTAAAATGGAGACATCATCATGGAGAATCAGGTTCTTGTCTAACACTGGGCCTTCAGTAAGGACATGACCTTGTTCTTAACCGTAGCACATGCTGGGTACTGACTCAGGAATTTGGTCTGTACTACCCTACAACCATAACCCCATTGCTGTGCTTCTGTCCCCTCTGCCAGGAGATCCAGAGGAGGGATGAGGGGCATCCAAGGATATCTGCGTGATTTGCGGGGCTAGGCTTATGCCGACTTGCTTACGTTCATCAGGTTTGAAAGTGCCGGAGCCATTTGTTGACCCTCTTCTCTCGGCAAAGATGCCGTTACTCCAGCCATGTCATTGAGGTGAACCAAGGATAAACCCATGGCTCTCCTTTTTTTTTCCAAACCATAATATGGGAATCAATACCGAGAATATTTCACTGCAGGAACACACTGTGGTATTTCTTATAAAGCAGATGGTAGGAGCTTACCAGAAAGCAAGGGAATCAGCCAAGGCATCCTAGTTTATAGCAGAAAACTGAAAGAACCCTGATGTGGGCAGTGAGGCAAGCACTCCTGAAGGACTGGGAGAAAGTCTTGTCTATGAGGCAGGCGACAGCAGTAAGCACTGGGGTCCAGACTAGGAGTTACCCCATGTGAGGTAAGGGGGTAGGGAGACGTGGGTGAGATAGAGTAAAATGAGAGGGAATCCAGGAGGAGGTGGTACTTGGAAGTTAAAGTGGGTAGAACTGCCAAAGTCTGTCTACAGATGCCAAGATGCTGGTTTCTGGGGAAGTGAGGGAGCTGTGACAAGCGAGGCAGGACTTGGAGTGTACTGAGCTGGCTGTCACAACAGAGAATTCGGCACAGACGTCCAAGGCAGAAGCCCAAGTTATCATGACTTAGATGGAGCCCCATTGGCAGCAGAGATGGCTCGATGTAGAGCCTGGAAAGTTTGTGTGGGGCTCTTGAAATCTTTCGAATATGAGATCAAAATTAATTCTAGGGACTGAGACAAAGCTAAAACCGTTACGTGAGGAGGGAAAAGGAATGCAGTGACTGGGAACTGGGTAGGCCTGTCTGCGGGAGAATCGCCTTTCACACACATTGTGTCAGGTCGTCTTAATATATTTTCTTCAGTAGTTCTAGCAGACATATGTGCCATTTTCATTTTATACCTGAAGAATCAGAGAAATGCCCACGGTTAATGGATTCATTCTGTCTGGGTATCTGGGACTCTTTCCAACACCACCATCTCTGTGCCCTAGGCTTAGACTAGATAACTTTATGAAGTTCATTTGGTTGTGGTTGTAGGAAGGTAATGGAACACATGGTCTCTGGAGCCAGGCTCCTGGCTTTTTATCCCAGCTCCAGCTACCTCTTTTGACTGTGCGCCTTGGATAGGTTACTTGGCAGTAAAAATGAAGATGATACCTTCCTCACAGTGGCATCCTGAGGATTTAATGGAATGACATATAAAGGGTTTAGAACAGTGCCTGGCATGTAATGCTCAATAAGCGTTACTATTACGCTTTAACTAGGAATAATGTTCCTTAGGGAAGATTTTAGATGTTAACAGTCATCACTACCTAGTGGATGGATGGGTCCATGGCAAGGTTAAGTCTTAAAAGTAAATACTGCAAAAATCATTCATATTTATTTGGTCTTATAAATCATTAAAAAAAAAAAAGATATTTTCATTAGTTGAATTTTGACTTATAGTGAATTTTAGTGAGATATTGCCCAATAGAGAGGTAGAAATTTGGGGTATGAGTCCTTGCTGTACCATTTCCTGACTTTGTGAGCTTGAGCAATTTTTCCAATGTCTCTCACTTTTTTTTATCTGTGAAAATTATCGATAATGGGGTCAGGTTCGTTACAGAGCTTGGGTTATCTGGTGTTTGCTCATGGTTAAGTGGAGGCCAGGATATGGGGGAAGACCACAGAGGTGAAATGTCCTTCCCAGGGAATGACAGCTCACCTCATAGAATTATTCTGAGAAATCACTTGATAAACCGAAAGCATTTTTAAGTAAGAGGATGCCATGTGTTGGATATTTTTATTCTCTGGACACACACCCAGCATAAGCAAGAAAAGGTTAGTTGTCTGTAGAGGACGCTAGAGGAAGCCATTCTGGAATTAAAAAACTTCAATGCGTATAATCCACTTTCGCTTTGGATGTTAATAATTTATTGAGGTTGCCAGGTGGGCCCCCAAACACAGACAAGTATACAGTCAGTTCCAAGGACTCTTTGATCTCCTCCGTGCCATTCTCTTAACAACAGCTAGATTGTGTTTTTGCTTTTTATTTCCTCTCTACCCACACAGAAAACTCAGACTCCGCCCCAGTGAATCCTTGCTATGACAGGAGCCACACGTGTGACATGAGAGCTCGGTGCCATCCAGGGACAGGTGTAGACTACACCTGTGAGTGCTCACCTGGGTACCATGGAGATGGACGGAGTTGTGTGGGTAAGAGCCATGTGCTCTGTGTTCTTTCATGCAGTCCTCTAGCACTTTGTTTATAACAGATAAGTGTCCGTCTTCTTAGTGATCTCCATTGAGCAATGAGTTTAGCAGCTGTTAATCTAAAGACAGTGATTTAAAAACTGAAGCGTATTCTGGTTAGGTTTGAGAGGGCAGTTTGGAGTTGGGTATTTGGGACTGGGACTGTAAAAGGACATCTGCTGCAATTCCTGGATATTTTGAGTTCTTAAGTTTTGTAAGTTTAAGCCTGAAATAACTATTTCTTCCATTTACTAACAAATATGTTTTCTAGTTATCTTTAGATTTCAGAAATTGTTTCTTTTCCCTGTTATATCCCAAACAGCAGTAGTAGAAATTTCTTTACATTAAAAAAATTGTTATAGTTCTTCTCTTCTAAATATTCAGTATTTTTTAAATCTTTAAAAAATTCTCGGAATATTCAAAATATGTCTCCCTGTGGCTTATACTTGAATGACTTGAAATAAATATGTATTATTTGTGATATGCAACATGCTTCCATATCTGGTACTTAGAAATCTTACATTTCAACTCCTGTTAGTCCCATTGAAGCCTCATAATAGTGAGAAAACACCGAGTTTCAGACCTTTCACTTATGAGATCCTTGATTTAAACAGAGCTTTTTTGTTCTTATTTCTTCCTAGATGTAAATGAATGTGCAACCGGCTTCCATCACTGTGGCCCCAACTCTGTGTGTATCAACTTACAGGGAAGCTACAGGTGTGAATGTCGGAGTGGTTACCAGTTTGCAGATGACCAGCACACTTGCACCTGTGAGTGTCAAAATCATTCCTCTTTTTGGCCAAAAGGATGCTGAACCTAGCTCTTTGATTCATTAATGTTTCCACTTTTGTACAGAAATTCTGCTCTAAGGTTTTCTAGAAAACAGAGAATTTACATTGAAATAGCCCAAAACTATGGCTCAGTTCAGTCTTGTTTTTCTGTTTGTTTTTGTTGTTGTTATTGTTTTCTTTTTCTGTAAGTAGATATTTTTGGTGTTGAGTTATTGGAGGATGTTCACCTCAGTTGAGATTCCTACATGTCTTGGTATTTGGCTCAATCATGTAATGAGAATATGAACCCCTTTAATAAATACCAACAGCACCAGATAGAGGTCAAATATTTCTCAAATTAGAATGAAGTGGACTTGTAATTCAATGATGCTTGTCCCACTTGACCAGCCAAAGAGCTCCATCTATAATAAATATACCCTCTCTAGGGTTCAAAAAAAAAAACTTTGGACCTAAAAGTGGAACTAAAAGAACTAGAATTCCAAATTCATCCCATTGGTAGAGCTAGATGATATCTACACTTTTAATCCAATGGAATGAAAAAGTAGCAGTGATTGTAGAGACTCAGTGTGTGTGTGTGTGTGTGTGTGTGTGTAACATTTGTTCTGGGAGTTATAAACTTGAGTCAAGGACTGTTTTGATGAGTGATCTTCATCCCTAGTGTTTTAACCACCCACCCAGATGGTTTGCATACAAAGCATCTTGATAGTGATCTTGTTAAAATTCAGATTCTGATTCTCTGGCTCTGGGCTGGGGCCTGAGGACCTGCATTCTTTATATGTAAGCCTCCAGATATCCCAATGCTGTTGGTGTGCAGATCACACTGTGAAGAGCAAGGCTCACCCATTTGCAGACCTGAACTCTTAGACATCCTTGCCTTGTCTTTTTAGTGATTGCCCCACCTCCCAACCCCTGTGAGGATGGCAGCCATACCTGTGCTCCTGCTGACCAGGCCCGGTGCATTCACCACGGAGGCAGCACATTCAGCTGTACCTGCCTGCCGGGTTATGCTGGCAACGGACACCAGTGTACCGGTAAGTACCTGCGGGTCAGCCTCAGCAACTATGGACAGTCACCTGGATGCCCATCCCCACATAGCCAGGGCGTCTCAGGAATTCTCTCTCCCTTCCTTTGACTCACAGAGCCTTGGGATTGCCAAAAGGGAGAGAGAAAAGGCGTCCTTTGAATCAGAAAGAGGGGCCCAGGGTGATTTCCCTTGGACTGGATCGTTAAGCATATATGGTTGTCCTTGGTGGAGACATGCTTGGAGCACTGGGGAGTCTGTCAGCTTGTAACCTTATGTTCCTTGGAACCTGGTATAGGCTGGAGGAACTTAGGGAAAGTCATGTATTCTGTTAGGATGTTTCCATCTTTCAGTCTCTTTGGTTAATAATGGCTTAATTCAACACTTCCAATCATGGTTAATTTTTAGTTGCTCTTCCCCTGCTTGGACTGATATTTTAAGCAATATCTAAATATACATATAATTCTTCTTCTCTATTTTTTTCCCTCTCTTCTGTCTTTGTGGAGAGCGATAGATAGAGATCCACAGAGGAACTTTACAGATATAAAAGGATATTAAGGCATACCTAGGTACTCAAAACTTTTCTCCCAGAAATCTAACTACTTTTAAGACTTCATACAATATTTTATAAAATCACTAAACCAGAATGCAGGAGTAACTGTTGAAATATAATTTAGAAATAATGTGTGAGGTTGTTACACATTAATCTAGGCCTAACGCTCTGAGTATAAATGTTCGTGAAACTAGGGTTAGTAGTACTTTAGTGATTATTCAGTGTAAATCTACATAATCCACTAAAGGTTTTCACAATGTACCCAGTGGCATGTGATTGAATTGCAACTCAATTTCATACTGTCTGTCCATCAGTAATACACACAAATTATGGTAAAATGAAACACTGGAAATGTGAGAATGGTGAGAAAAAGGTTTGGAATGGGAAAGGGTCTGTCTTGGGAACATAAACCTAAAAAGGCACGCTTTTCCCCGTTGCTCAAATGGCTGCTCCACCCACCACTGTACACCTGGGCCCACTGAGCTGATTTGCTAAGCCTTGTAAGTCCTGGGAGCGCCATAACAGACCTAAATAGCCTGGCCTTCTCCTTCCTCATTAGAGGTTTGATTCTCATCCTTCTCCCATTCTTTCTCCCTTCGGTTCCAGCAGGACAGGCTGGCTGGACCAGCAGACTGAAGCCATATGCTATTGACAGACCAATGTGTCAGGGCAGCACAGCCCTCCACTCCTTTCCACATGTGGCTGGCTGTTTGGTATTGTCTGGACCTTGCTATTTAATAAAGTTTCCACTTCTATACGGAAGCTTTGCTTATGGTTTTCTTGAAAACACAACATATTGAAATGACTCAAAGTTGTGGCTCAGTTCAGCCCTGGTCACCCTCCCCACCAAAACAAACAAACAAACCAACAAACAAAAACACCTGCAGCTTTAGACCGAGCTCAAATGTTTTTCAAATTAGAAAGAGGTAGATTTGTAATCCACAGGTGCTTGTCATACTTGACCAGCCAAAGAGCTCCATCTATAATCGATACACTCTTTACAGATGGGGGTACCCTCTACAGGTCTGGGGGATCAGGGCGAGGAGTGTAGACTCCTTGTTTCTGTTAAGTCTCACAGTGGGAATAACACTTTTTCACCCTGTGGAACTTATCATTCAGTTTGATTTAATACACTACTGGTTCTAAAAAATGGGAATGCATAGAGAAAAAAAAATTGTCAGTAGAATTTCATATTTAAAGATCTGTTGCTCAGGTCACCAGAAATGGTGCTTATAAAGTATTTAATCCCCTTAGGTCTTTGGTTTAAAGCAAAGAAGTTGAAATTAATTGTAGCCTAGGTGTGATGAGTGTTAATCATCAGACTGTTAATTGAGGTTAGATGCTTCTTGCCCTAATCCCATCTAGAATCATTCTC